TATTAAATGTCATTCTGAGCTGAAGATCAGACTCACATGCAGATATGATCATCAGTGAGCTCTATGTGAAGATTCAGAGATTATAAAAAGATGATTTAGAATGATGAATAATGTCATGAAGAAGTATGAAATTCTATCTAAGAATACATATAATTTTGATGAAGTTGACTTTCTTATGAGAATTATTTCAACAATCTTAGTGATCACTAGATCAGAAAGAGCTGGAAAGACATCTCTTATACAGTCAGAAAATAGAGAATGAGTGACTGTGATTGAGTCAGTCAATGCAAGAGAATAAAGTCTGTCTTCAATGATTATTCTCAAAAGCAAGCTACATCAGACTTCATGATATACAAATCTGTCAGCAAATTGAGTAATTGAGATTAGTGAGAATAGCTGAATCACTGATCAGCTTGATCTAATATGACTGAAAGAGATGTTTAACAAGCATACTCAGACTTATACAGTTGAAAGATATAGACTCTTGATTTTGAATAAACATAAGAGTCATGTCACTGCTGAATTTGATCAATTCTGCAGAGAGAATGCTATTATAACTTTCTATATGTCATCTCATTCTTCTCATCTGCTGCAGTCACTAGATGTGAGCTGCTTTGCTTTTTTGAAAAAGGCATATTGCAAGCAGATTGAATCTGACATGAGACTTGACATTAATCATGTGAATAAGAAGGAATTTCTAGAACTATATTCTGCTGCTAGAAAGAAGGCATTGAAGAATATGACTATTAAGAATGAATTCAGAGTCACAGACTTAGTGTCATTCAATGCAGAGAAGGTTTTTGAACATCTATATTATCAACTACATACATCAAGTCTCTTAGACACATCTTATGAATCTCAGACCTTCTGAATCTCAAAGACTCTCTGAAATGCTGTTCAATTGAAATGTCAATTCAACAAGCTCAAGCAGTTTATCAAGCATCATACACAAAGCCTGCCTAGTTCTATCAACCAAGCTCTAGATCAACTAGTTTGAAGGTGTCAACTAGCTATGCATGAGAGTGCTCTTTTAACTCAAGAGAACAAGGCTTTACAAGCTGCAAATGAGAAGCAGAAACACAAGTGAGGACAAGACTGTGTTTACATAGATCAGAAAGGAATTCTGACTGGAGAAGAAGAATTAGCTAGAGCTCAGACTGCTCAGACTGCTCAGCAGATAATGAATAGAGAGGTGGAGAATTCAAATCAATTCACTAAAAAGTGAGCATCAGCACATTGCAGCAAGTGTGGGAATACTGGACATAGAACCTCTGGATGCTTGCAGAGCTAGGATTTAATTGTATATAATTTTTTAATGGATAATTTAATATAGTGGTAGCAGAATTTAAAGATTTGTTTAATGTACAGTGGGGAGGTGGCCAGTTGAGTGATCTGGCCAGTTGAGTGATTGGTTACGTTAGCTGTAGCATACCATCACCTCCCCTTTGGGTTAGCCTCGGCGTATTGTTACACCGCGCCGAGCATGCCTTGGACGTTTCCCATCGGGCAACCGCCTTATCTCCCTTTTGGGTTAGCCCCGGCGTATTGTTACGCCGCGCCTAGCGTGCCTTGCACGTTTCACCCATAGGGCACCGCATTCTCGATACCACTACATTCTTGAGATTATCTTTACCTTTACATAACATTATTCCTGATCGAGAGGAGTGCTTTATGACCTCATGAAGAATAAATTGTTGCTGTGTGTTGATCCATCTGGCTGAAATCTAAACCATATATGTGGCACGTGATTAGGGTTATCCACAAAAGGAAGCACCTAAACTAACGACTTCGCTTAGTCACCCATGCCAAGCTTCAATCTTCACAAACCTTTCGACTTGACTTCATCTCCATCCTTCTGCAACCCCAACCCCAATCCCAGCTTCCGCGCCGTCGATGTCAGCCGTTGTTCACCTCGTCCGTCCATACTTTATTCTCGCTACGATAGTTGGGCCGTTTCCGATATCTTTACAAGACCTGATTTCTTTCCAGTCTATTACTTAGATAAGCGAAAATGCTTCAGACAACTGCCTTTTTTGACTACATTTCTTGTGGTGAGTTCTTGGTTGGCCTTGGCGTACTTCTGGCTTCTGCCTTCATCAGAAGTCACTCTTGTTATTTCTTCGCACCATTCTGCCATATACTGCGCATTCCTAGTTGCTAGTTGCGACTTGGAGTTAAGTGTTGGAGTTGGTTGTGGCTGACTCGTCTTTCATGCACGCAGCAGAGTGTTTGAACGCTAATGACATCTTTTTGTGCAGCAGTTAATACATTGTCAATAAATATTTCGTAATATCGATATATATATATATATATATTTTTAAAAAAAAAAAAAAAATTTTTACGACGAACCTTCGAAGGAGAACCTCCCGCCAAGAGACAGCATGTCGATCGACCGAAAAGTTTTCCATTGTGTCGTTGACGATACCGCACTCACTACTAATATCAGCGAAATTAAAAAATGGACGTCGCTTGGTGCCATTACTCTTATTGTTCCTCTCTATAGTATGTATTGGATTTCTCCTGCCGTGTTAATGTCCACTTGACATTTCCTGCTGTGTTGCTAATATCCCCAAGCACTTGAGCGCCTCCGCACCCTGAAGAAATCCAGCGCGCAGATCGGTATGAACGCACGAGAAGCTGTCCGTTTTCTTGATCGTGTTACATCCGGCAAACATGACATCCCTTCCTCAAAAATAGCACTTCAGGGTCCGATGGAACAGTTCGAGACGTGGGAAGAAGCGGAAAAATACTTTCTGCCGGAGTTTGAAGAAGACGTCAAAGATGACTCGGATAGTGGCGCTGATGACAAAGAATCAACTAATGGTATAGAGAATGGAGCAGCGAAAGCCGAATGCAAGGAGACGCAAAATCTTAATGAGATGTCCCAAATGCTTTTGAGCAGGCTTAAGTTTAAGAAAGAGCCGGATGTGGTTTCGATAACCTCTGGTGGCACTCGCAGTATTCCTGCGTCCCTTGCATCAGGTAGTTCACAAACAAGTCCAGAATATACGGCCGTAAAGCTGGCTGCGGCTCCAGCACCTGGGAGAAGTGCTAACGGTTCCGTAAATTCTCACCGTCGCTCTGCCTCTGGGTCCAATATTCCCTCAGTACCTGCCACCATCAAACCACTACTTAGCGCTGTTCTCTGGCGTTTGCACGGTCAGCCTGGGGTGACACCAGGTGTAAATAGTTGCATCCTCGTTACTAACAATTGGTCCACGCAGACATGGGCCCAGAAGTTCGGGATCTCGGCAAGGAATATTCACCAGTTGCGCACAGCTATCATATATGAGGAGAAGGAATTCAAGAACCATTGCAAGTACATCGAAAAGAATCAGGTTGCGGAGCCCGACAGGTTGCTTTCATACGAAGATGAGAGCGAGGAGGATGTTCTTGTATTCGTTCCCAGAGGCCCAGCAAAACCCGCTCCTCGTGGTGGCCCAATTAAACGATCGGCCAATCGCAAATCAGCAGCAGGTGACCGGATTGCCAGTGCCAGCACCAATAGTAGCAACGGAAAACCAGCCATCCAATCTGTTGCGGAGGCTGTTGTCGGAGTCCCATCTATTCCTATCGATCCTGATTCTTTTAGCCGAAACTATGGAGTTACGAAATCGGCCACTCCTGTTGAAATTTCAGCTTCAAATGAAAATCTTCGAGGTTTCATTCGTTCCAATCCTCGCGCAAAACGCCGTGGTGCTAGTCGCGGCCCTTCTCTTCGTGGCACTGGTAGAGGCCGTGGCAAACTTTGGGTTCCTTGAACGTGCCGTCTCGTCCGGGGCAGTTGACTCGGCCACTGGAAGCGGTATCCTAAATAGTCTATCATGGTCGGTCTGAGTGGATGTAATACGATCAATCTAGAAAAAGTGTGAATGACCAAAGAAAGGATTTAACAACAGTGTGGGTCCGGACTCTTTTTCTAGACCATGGTCCTATTTTTTTTGACTGTCCTGAAGACCAAGATCTTGATGAGGTTTTCAAACCGACTGGATGACACGGTCGGCTGACCTTGGGAGTGATGCAGTATGCTGGCTGTTTACAAGCAGAGGCGGTGAAAACAAAGAGAAACAAAGAAAAAAAAATAAAGAAAAGAAAGCAAAAGACCTAATATGGGCGTCTTCTGTGTCACTCCATAACCCGATCTTCTTGAGAGTTTCGCTTCACGACCGTTGACTTTTTTTCGGGAATAAGCGGAGATTAGGGATTCTGAAATGAAAACCAAAATGTCCACGGTTTACTGTTTTTGAAATTTTCTTCTGCAATCCAGCTTCTTCGTCTTTGCCTTCTCCACACTAACGAATGGAGGGGAATCCTTTATTACCGCAGAATTTATCGTGACTCTACTGGGATTCGGGTTTTCTAGTTTAGAATGTCTGGAGATCATAGGTTCTACGTAGTACGGATTTTGATATTTTATAGCTACAGCTACTTATGGGAAAGGTAGAATCGGTTATGAGTGTCGAGTAGCAATTTGTATTTGTTGGGAGGGAGAGGAAAGAAAGTGCATTAATGAGCTGGCTGGAGATCTGCTTTTGGAGGAAATATTTGTTGTTCTAATTAACCATAAGATGCCTTAGGCGGACAACTCTTGTTTTTCTTTTTATTTGTGTTTTCACTTTAAATTTTAATATTTTTCTTCTTGAATTACAAATAGGTGCTCTGTACAGTTACCTAAATCCAAACAAACCTGCATTCAACGTTCGTTGTAGTTTGTTGTGTGAGAAAACTTTAATCCGCTCCGTATCACAGACTCGTCCTTGAGGCCAGGTTGCCCTGGCTGCTGACTCATCCCTACGACATCATTTTACCGGAGGAACGGTAGTTATTAGACTATTAACGGAGCATTATTCGACATCCTCTCCGCCGCCTGTCTCCACCGCCCCATGTCAGCAAATCTGACAACTGCTATCTTGCCTTCTCCAATACATACCAACTCTACCAAACTAACTACTAACTCTTTCTTCTGTAATCCTTCATCAGCTGGTTTAGTTTATGTCAACATGGCTCAGTCCTCCAATATTGACACCTCCCGTATCTCTCCCGTAGAACGGCGCAACTCCCTGGAGAAGTATCTCCAACATCGGCCTAACCCCCAGGACCTGAAAGATAGGCACATTTTGCTGGATACCAAAGTTGCCCCGTATGCCTTCATTCGGTCCCCGGCCTATCTTATGTGTTTAAAATTGCACCCCTAAATTAACGTCCATCTCTGCATTAAGGTCCCTGCAAGCTGCACAACAGGAACTGGCCCGCCAGAAGGCCGCAGACAGCCTCAAAAGACACCTGGAGAAAAGGCCTGATCGTGAGGACCTTGTTGAGAGTATGCATTTATCTCTAATTTACCCCTTATACTTAGTTTGATGTACGTACTGTGCTGTACAGTAGATACGTACATGTAAATACACACATGTGCAGTTCTAACAGTAACATATAGGGAACATCCTCTCGTCTTCCACCGCAGCCCCAGCCCTCCAGGCGTACGCCCGTGAACTCCAAAAGCATATGCTGACCGACAACCTTGAGCATAAGATTCAGAGTCGTCCGAAGCCTGAAGAGCTCATCAATCGGGGTATTCTGGATGAAAGTGATAATCCCACTCACGCTACTTAACGTTATAATGTCCAGCTTTCCCATACACGTGTAACAAACGACACGAGTCACGGATTACTGGGATAATGAAGGACTTTATGGTATTCTTTTCTTTCCTTTGCATTTACTTTTACTTATTTTTATTTTTATTATATTTTTGAATTGTAGTTCCAGTTTTTCATTGATGGGAGATATAATGTGCATACATAAAAGTTTCTGATGATTGCGTATGACACCGCCAGTTAATGCATCTTGTCTCTCTATTTCTCTGATCATCATCTTTCAAATTTAAGGCAGCACGTGCTTGCGTCAGAAATTGCTAGGAGTAGTCAAATCTGTCCTCGAAGCTTCAGATTGGTGAATATGTTGCGGTTCTGAAGTTCTTTTCCCTTTTCCTTGGTATTAAAGGGATACTTCTCTCTTAGGGGTAATCCTTGTCAATTATGAAATAAGTCTGGAATATCCTGTTGATGTCATACTCGTTGTACCATCGTACGGTAGCTATTTGAGGATAATGGCCAGCTTTAGCAGTCAGTTGTATTGTCATACATTCCCACTCGCGGTAACAGTTAATTCAGAATACTTGAGGAGAGGAGCTTAAGAATTATTCATTGCCATTGGAATAAATACGGTTTATCAACAAAAAAGAAAACAAGAAAAGAAAAGAAAAAAAGTAAAAAACCCTGGATATGCGGAACGCGTAATACCAGACTTACTCTATCGACCCCTTACTGACATACATAGATATGCAGCTGTGCGCAATATCATTCGACATGCAATCAATGCAAACAGCCAATGTTAGGCTTTTCTGTATCGAAAATCCATGACTCCTTGTCCAGAAAGTCGCATTTACACATCGTCCCCGCAATAAACAAGTAGAACGTGGACATCAACAGCGTAGAATAAATAGGGTGTTTATAAATTCTCAATAGCTCACCACATCAGTCGGCGCCAAACACATCCGGCATCAACACACCGGACCGTTCACTGCTCCGTACAATCAATCCATATGCCTCCCGCTCCACTTTCTCCACGCTGTTCTGCATCAACTCCAGTTTCTTCCAAAAATCCCTATTCAAGCTATATCCGAGTGGCACATTTATCGATTCGAGCATTACCCGCAATTGTTGCATATGTATCAATATACTACCGACACACTTATCCAGCTCGTGGTTTTGCTCACCAGGTCCGTCGACTGACATGTTAACGTTCGATCCGGCGGCCATGCTCGTTATGGCAAAACGCATCATTTCCCCCGTTAAGTCAAACACACCCAAGATGTAGTCTGCCGCCGTCACCAGAATACCGTGAGGAAGTGAGCTAATTACGTCTTTTTGGGACATCAGTTGCTGGGTCTCGATGTAGTGTTGGAATGTGACTGCTTCAATGTACTCTTGGATACCGGGGCTGGTCTGCCATTGATAACGGTAAGCATTAATACCAGCAAGGTCGGGGAGGATAGAGGTAAAGAGCTTTTTTATTAGTGCAAAGCGGTCGTGGTTGTCTTTGGAGACGTTCTTGGGCAGAGGTTTGTTGAGAGAGCGAACTCTATGCAAGGAGAATATTCTAACATGTCACAAAGTTGTTAATTCAGTGGTGACCAAGTAAGATGCTGCGATAATGGAAGTATGGCATACATCTTTTTGCTTAAGGCTGTAATATCCCTAGAGGCTTTGATAACACGCTCCCGACGGTCATGATGTTCGTCGAGCTCGCTGCGGAAGGCTCCAAATATCCTCTGGATGGCAGCTGTGTCTGTGTTCACATTGGCTCTTTCAAATGCCATAGTTATTATTGCCTGTGGACTCTTAACTAAATTTGCCTTCCCAGGAACGTTTGCTACCAGCCATACTACGCTATGTGCGCTGTCGTATCAACCTGCTCCGGTTGATTGTGTTGGACATGACGCCGAAGTCGCACACCACATGTGATGTACATGTATATTATGTGGGAGGCTCAAGTGGTTATATTGGTAGCCTATCTCGGACTACTGTGCAGTGCGCTAGTCCATAATAGGAAGCTAGGCTCCGCTACTGTCCTGCTCAAATCAATCATATCCATCTCTCTGTCAATCTTGTCTTCCACTTGCTGTATCCATCAAATCCATTTCTTATTTCACCAATAACTTGGCTGGCTTTTCATAAGTTCTTCAATATTTGGAGAAATTGCTGCAAAGAATACTTGACTTGATTGACTTGAGTTAGGGCGTGAACGCGAGCTGCATAAGAAGGAACTCTCTGTGTTGCTAACTGCTAATCGTGCCGCTGCGCAACCCACACCTCATGTGGGTGCGCCATATCAAAATGATAAAAACATCAAAATGATAAAAATCTTACAATTTCATCATCTTCATCATCTTCATCAATTAATAACTCACCACAATGTCAAATAAGGATAAAAATATTGAAGATCATATTCAAAAAACTATCATTTAATATTAAAAAAACTTAAATTCTAAAATACTGTCTTTGTCACAAGAATTTGAGGTTTCTTATCAGTTTCTGAGTGTGTATCAATGAAAGAAATCCGAATACTGCAAAGATTTCAGTTAATGAGCGACTAAATAAGAGTCAGAAAAATGCAATTAAATGATGAGTCAAACTATTTGATGAAAAGAATTATTCTTTCACAGCTGAACATATTAAAAATTTCACAAATTCAATGCTCAGACATCAGCATATAGATTCTACTATCTCTTCTTCAAAAGTCAGCAAGATGTAAACTTATAGATTCATTGAATATCTATCTGAGTATAAAAAAGTGAAATAAAAGTTAATGAATTCAAAGAAAGTGACAGTTGAAGATATTGAATATATTAATACATCATTTGAACATCTTCAATTTTTATTTGAGCAGTATCAATTTCACATCTATAACACATACAACTTCAATGAGATTGAATTTCAAGAAGAATAAAAATGTGAAAAATGAGTTATAACTATTTTTAAAAAAGCTAATTTTATTATTTTTTCATTTTTTTTAAAAGATTTGATTATAGTCATTGAATATGTATTCATGAATAATTATATCATTTTATCATTAATAATCTTAGTCTTCAAAACATATTTGAAGAATTGATATATACAAACAGATATACTCAGCAATTATAGAATTGCTATATCAGATACTGAATTTATAAATGATGAGATTGAATTTAAAAAACTCAAATATTTTAATACTACTACAGAAAAAAAGATAGAAGAGAAGTCATTAATTATTTTTAATAAATAATCATAAATTTCATATTATTGAAAAGTTCATATGATATGCAAATTTTCATAAGATAATTCTATATAAATTTTCATTGCATGCTACTCATTTGTCACAATTTATGAATAATCTATCATTTTATCAATATAAGTATTATTATTCAAAAGCAGTTAATTATACTGCATGTCATAATCATGTTAAGTATGAAAAACAGCAGTTTTTACAAAATCTCTCATCTATGCAAAAGCAAATCTTTAAATCTGATACAAATAGCTGCAGAATGAGCTCAATATGATATATATTCATGAAATTCTGACTAAGTTCTTGACTCTCTTAAGCAGTGAATCTTATCATCTCCTTCACTACAAATTTATGAAGATAAGAATAATTCAAATCATATATTTATCTCTTTCTTTTAACTATTCTCATCAAAGATAATTCAAAGTATGTCTAATCAATGCAGAACTTAATAAGCAACAGATCACTGAATTAGAGAACTTTCTCAACATCAGTAATTACCATAGAGCTAAAACAATCTGTCATTAGATTCAAGTAGAGAGAGTCCTCACTATTAAAGATGTCAATAGAAAAATCAGATAATATAAGAATAATGAAGCTGAAAAAAAGCAGAATAAAAAGTGATGAAGACTTGAAGTTAATTTCATAAAAATTAACAATAACTTATTTATATCACTAATAGAAGAGAAATTAAATCAAATTTAAAGATGATACACATACTGAGAATGATATAGATAATTTTTTTATTTTAGATTGATTATTAATTGTTGATATAAAGTGCAATAATGAAAATGTGATTCAAGATTTTTATCATTTTATAAGAAGTTGAACCCCTAGATTCGCTCTGGCTGGCTGACTCAGCCTAGCCATCATTTGCACGTGCGCACGTGATCATGCTACGCGAGTTTGCTTAAGCTTGAGTTCTTGTCTCATTCTTTTCTTCTCTTTCTCAAGCAATTCATCCTTGTTATATAGAAGGACTAGCCTCTAGTTCTTAGAGCTTAACTCTTTACATTATGAATTGCTTGACTTCTTTCATTGATAAGTCACTGAAAGTCTTAATTCTGTATCATGAAGCTCAGCAAATATATTGACATATGATAGACTATTGAGAGTCTTAAATTCTGCATCACAAAGTCCAGTGATAGCACTGGTATATGAATAGACTGAGTTAGCAATTGTGCTAATGAACAAATGAGCAACATTGAAAACATCTAGCTGAACAAGATAAAGTGACAGACTTGTATAATAAATATACAAATGAATCAATATAAAGCAATGAGCAGAGATGCCTTCAGCAGCTTTGAACAACAATGAATGATCTTTTTTCAACAGCAGAAACAGGTCCAGTGTGAGAACAAGAATTTAATAGCAGCTCAGCAAGCTGAAATAGCTAATCTATGTCAAGCTTTGAACACTCTGACATCAACTCTCTCTTAATCAAACTTGCAATCATTCATTGCAGTCAGAAGATTAAAGATCAAGCTATCAGACTGTGAGAAGTATGATAATTCTAATCTGAAGCATCACTCTCAGTGAGAGCTAAAGCTTCAATCAAATCTTAAAATTGATGGGAAAACTTTAGGCAATAATGAGAAATGTGTTTGATATGTGTACTCAAGACTGAAAGAAATGACAGCAGCTTGAGTTTATCTCTGAGTTGAGAATAATAAGAACAAGATCAACTTCATGATAGAGAGCTTATTGAAGCAGACACACATGCTCTTTAGTGATTCTGCATGACAGAAAAAGATTATGCAAAAGCTCAACAATCTATAACAAAGTAGAAGAGCTCTTTTTGACTTTCTGTCTGAATTTAATCAGCTACTGCTGAAAGCTGGCAGCCACAGATGAGATGATCATGTTAAAAAGAGATATTGAAAATCTGCTCTAAGCATGAAGCTGAGGAAAGGCATGGTGGGTGTAAGAGAACTGTCTCTCTATGAGAATTACTGTGAAAAGCTTAGATTAGTTGATCATCAACTCTCTGAGCTTAAGACTTTAAGACAGTGATCTAAACATTGCAAGAACAGATCTTCTTCAAATCATACAATGTCTAATCTACACTTTCTACTTTGTCATGCTGTTCTCAATCAATGAAACTAGTCTCAAGCTTTCACTGATGATCTAAAAGATCTCTCTTCTGATGCTGTGACCTCAAGTGCTCATCACATCAAATTGATAAATCAGACAGAGATTAATCAAAGAAGAGAGCAAGACCTGTGCCTGAGATGTGAAGCTGAAGGTTATATGATTAAGAGCTGTCTGTTCAAATCTTCCAGACACTCTGCTATTCCCACAATAGCTAAAGTGATCCTCAAGCTGATACTGGATAATGATGATGTGGATATGAGTAAGAATTCAGAAAGAAGAATAGCTTCAATCAAAAGACACTAGAAGAAGTGAAATAAGAAGCTTATGAAGAAGCAATGAAGAGGATTTAAATCTAAGATGATATTTAAACCCTTCACTATTGATGCTTTAATAGATAATATCTTTTAGACTAGAGCAATGATAGACAGTAAATGTAATGTCTATGGTCTTATTTTTCAATTCTATATTAACAAGCATAAGCTTCTGTGCATTGAAATTCTCTCTGTTAAAATAACTGGCTTTGAAGACTTCATGAGACTCTCCACAAGCATAGTGACTGGCATTCAAATTGATATAAGCAGTCATATAATTGAATGGGCTTTTCTCTATATGGTGAATGAGTTATATGATCATAATATGTATCTAGATAACCTCTGGCTGGCCCAGCAAAAGATGACTGTGATTTCTTATCAAAGAATTGTGAGATTTGAAGAGAGTGGCACAGAGGTAGAGTCTAGTTCAAATGCAAAAGCTGACATGATTCTCATCTCTACTGTAAGCTTCTCTAGGTTTGTAAGCACTCAAGAGAAGTGAAACATTGAGATCTTCACTGTCAGTTTGACTGATATTCAAAAGACTTTAAAAGTGAAATCAAAGATTGACCCTAGAGAAAAGCTGTCTGAACATTATTATGAGTTTTTGAACATATTTGATAAGAAAGCTGCTGATGCTCTACTCTCACTTCATGGCTCAGGTAAAGATCAAGAGATTGAACTAATTAAAAAAACTGATGATAGTATGGAACAACCCCCTTGAGGCTCACTATATAATATATCTTGAGAGAAACTACTGACTTTGTGAAAGACTCTTACAAATTATCTAGATAAGAGTTTTATTAGAGTGAGCAACTTCTACACAGCCACCCTCATACTATTCATGAAGAAGTCTAGAGGTGGGCTAAGATTCTATGTGAACTATCAAACTCTTAACAAAATCACTTAAAAGAATCAATATTCTCCACCATTAATCAGTGAGACTCTATAGTGAATTAGACAGACTAAATAGTTCACTAAGCTGGACATTATTGCAGCTTTTTACAAGATTCAAATCATAAAAGATGATAAGTGGATGACAGTCTTTAGAATCAGATACAGACTATTTGAATGACTGATTACACTCTTTGATTTAGTCAATGCTCTGAGCACATTTCAAAAATATATCAACTGAGCATTACATAGATATCTG